ATGCTCGTGGTGGCGAACTCCACGCCGATGGTGCTCTTGCTCTCCAGGTTGAACTCGTTGCGGGTGAAGCGTGAGAGCAGGTTGCTCTTCCCCACCCCGGAGTCCCCGATGAGCACGACTGGGGGGGCACAAGCACAGTGTCACCCCCGTGGGGCCAACCAGCCCCGCAAAGCCCCCAGCCCAGCCCAGCAGGGACGGGGCATCTCCTCCCCTGCCCCCAGCCCGGACCCCACCTCCGGTTCATCCAGGGAGAAGGGGCTGAAACTGTGGAGCCACATTCAAAGGGACAAGACCAGGAGCCTCTGCTCATCCCAACGGCATCTCAGCTACCCGTAAATACCCCTTGAGAAAACTCCTGCCATCAGCTGGACATCCCCAGGGGTTTCCATCCCAGCCACGTGCACCCGCCTCTGGGCAGAAAACCAGCACCAGGACCTGTGTGGAGCCAGCCAGGCCAAAGAGGCCAAGCAGGACTGGGTCTCCTGTTTCCAGCCCGAGCTCCAAGCCTGAGGGCACACAGGAGGACTTAAAGACTGCTCTGAGAGGAAGCATCCTCCTCCTCCTCCTCCTCCTCCTCCTCCTCCACTGCTACTGGTCCAGCCTGTGAGCCGGGAAGTCCCTGGGTGTGGGTTACCAAGGGCATTTTCTGCCTGTCCCAGACCTGGCTGCTTCCTGTAAAACCTGGTGCGACAGGCTCTGGGGAGACTTATCACAGCTCCCCTGGCAAGTTTGTTGGGTTTATGACTCAACAGGGTTTGATTCAGTTTTAATTCCCCCCACTGCCCATTCTCCAGGTGCACTCAGACCCAATCCACTTCACCCCCCCTCGGGGGACACTTCTGCCTCCCAGGATCAGTCAGCAGCAGGGCTGAGACACCCAGTGACCACGCTGGGGAGAAGGCTGGTGCAGCACCACCGACCAGCACAGGGCCACTGGTTCTGCCACGCTCGTCACCAGGGCTGCAGGATCTGCCCAGGGTCTGCAGCAAGACACACCTAACTCACGCAAGGCTCAGCAGCCACCATCCTCCATGGATGATGCCCCATGAACAACCCCTTCCTCATCAGCTCCAGCTCTTGGCTGTCTTACATGGGCTGCAGTGGAAACCCTCTTGCCAAAACCCCTGGTGGTCGCTGCCCCATCCCTGGAGACATTCCAGGACAGGTTGGATGGGGCTGAGCACCCTGCTCTAGTTGGGGATGTCCCTGCTCCCTGCAGGGAGTTGAGAGGAC